GTGTGTGTGTGTGTGTAGTGTGTGTGTGTCTGTGTGTGTCTGTGTGTGTGTGTGTCTGTGTGTGTCTGTGTGTGTCTGTGTGTGTCTGTGTGTGTCTGTGTGTCTGTGTGTCTGTGTGTTTGGCTGTGTGTTTGGCTGTGTGTGGCATGACGATGCTCCTCCACCACCACCCCCACCCCACACACACACACACAAGAGCTACGCGTATACATGCGTTCGCGTGTTGTCCATTAGACCACCACCCACCACTTCCTCAACCATCGGCAGCCGAAACACGGCCAAAAAAGTAACACAGCAACAGCAGCAACAACAACAACAACAATAGCAGCACGTGGATCCAATAACAACGCTGGTGTGCCTGAAACGACTTGCTTACACTCAAATGGAAAGAGGGGAAACCCCCCCCCCCCCGAAACGGCCAACCAACAAACAATAATTACAGCCATGCACTCCGCGTCATCCCGCGCGGATACGATCAGTCACTGCAACTCTCGAGCTCCTATGATTGCCGCTACTGCTGGTGTTGCTGATATTGTGGGGGCTGCTGGTATTGTGGTGGTTGCTGCTGCTGCCCCTGCTGTGGTTGCTCCTGTTGCTGCTGTTGTTGTTGGTGCTGCAGCAGCAATATCTGCTGTCGGGTGCCGAGTTGGTAAGCCCAGTTGAATGCCAGCGCCGCCTCCCGTGGCCACGCGGGCGCCAACTGCTCGCACACCCGCTGCACGTGCCCGGCATCGTACGTCCACCACGCAGCCAAGAACCGCGCCAGCAGTTGCGGCGCCTATCGCATGCACGTGTGTGTGTGCGCATGTGTGTGCGCGCATGTGTGTGTGTGTGCGCATGTGTGTGCGCGCATGTGTGTGTGTATGTGTGTACATGTGTACATGTGTGTGTGTGTGTGTGTACATGTGGGTGTGTGGTGGAAAACAAGTGCCCTGCTGCACGCAACCCTGCACGCGCACAGCTTCGCAATTGCACAGGCACACCCGCAACCCTGCACGCCACACAACTCTGCGACCGCAATGAACCGAGCAGACACCCACCGATCCCAGCAGCAGCGGCTCCAGGGAGTCTGCGAGCTCATCGTTGAAGATGGGGCTGCTCATGTCCTCCATCGTTTCCTGCTGTTGCTGTCGCAGCCAAACACAGACACACAGACACACACACAAACACACACACACACATAGCACACACACACATGCACATGCACAGCACACACACGCACACTGCCATCAGTATCCGCATGTGTAACGCCAGCAAGCATCTCAGATTCACACACACACACACGCAAACACGCACACGCACACGCACACACGCACACACACGAAGAAACAACATGCTCACGCGTTCGCGCAGTTGCTCGATTGCGGCGAGGGCGAGAGGTAAATACATATGCAGCAACTGCATGTCCAATGGCTGGCAACAGTCGGCAATGACAGCAAAGTGTGAGGCGGTGATTGCAATTGCATCACAACATGTTCCTCACACGCACTCAATACACACATTACACACACGCATACGCAATACACAATGCACCCACCCACACACACACCCACACACACACACACACACACACACACAACGACTACACCACACACACACACCTGACGTGAGAAAATTTGCAGAGGTTAGCAGAAACTATACACTCTGGACACGCACGCTACAAAAAATAAAAGAACTGAGTTAAACGCACAGACAGTGAAGACAAATCCTAACGACAGAGAAACTCACCAACGATTGGTAACTGGGAGGTTACAGATGCTCGCCATATAACAGCAAAGAAGACTGGTACGAGCGAGACATGATAGGACTTGATCAAACATGACCGAAGTATATCTACCTAGGCAAAATAATACAGAAAGAACTAGACGTACAGCGTCTATTGATATGTATGAAAGTTGGAGTGTACGGTTGGTGGGGTGACGTAGTAGTAATACATAGAAGGAAGTAGGAATTGAGTGATAGGAGAGCAAAGTACCTCACAACTACAGCCACACTGTGCAGTACTCAAGTCCATGAATACGGGTCAGGTAAAATGACTAGCCCAGCTCGCTACAAGTCGATCGCTAGAAGCTACCAGATGCCGCATCGAGCTATAAGATTACGGCCCCCTGAGTCGTTTTGTGAGAGGATATGGTGGAGGTTGGCTAAGGGGGAGCGAAA